TAAGCTAAGCAGTAAGGTAAGTAGGTGCAAATGGACGAATTATTGTAATACACACTTCTACGAGGCTTCAGAAGGGGTAAATTAGCCGCGAAAAAAAGTTGTGCGTATACGCATAATTTGCACCCAAAAGGGGCGATTTCTGAGCATATTTTCAATATGCGCGTTGCTTCTGAATGCAATGTGATGGGGTTTAGAACCTCGCCAACGCGCGTACACTATAGAAATCAATTCGCGCCAAATTTGCCCCATCTGAAAATGGTCACGTAGTTCTCTCATTTGAGAAGTTTCATGATGTCGATATTAGTATATTTAACCCTATATAATAAATATATAGGTCAAAACTAAAATATATTAGAAAACAAAATTAACACCGTTAATAAATGACCAAGTTATAGATTATTTAAAACTGTGTATTTTCGCATGGAATATATATATGTCGGAAGGTCAACCGGGAACGGCGGAGAGTTAGGTAAGGCAACATCCGCCATCTGACTAGTGCTCGAGATATTCTTTCGAAATAAGATCGCAGATAGATCACAAATCTGTTATTTAATTGAATTAATTAGTTGTCCAATCGAAATACATTAATAATAACGTGATGCAAACGGATTGCGATACGAAACGCGGAGAGTTCTGCGCTTGCGTCAACGCTCGAAGACGGCCGCACAACGTAAAGTGCCATCTTCGAACAAGCATAGACCACTCCCAAGCGATGACAGCCGTCAATGTCATAACTTGACGTTTCGCAAAGCACCATAGATCTTGACAGATGACAGCTGCAGGCGACAGATGGCGTTTCGCACAATCGAAGCGCCTTCTCGCCGACATATATTTAATGTGTATTAAACTTGTTTTTTTAACTGATTGGCAAATCAATTTAAAAACGGGCAAATTTAGTCGGTTCCGTAGAAATATTAAATTTGAATATATCCAATATTTTATTTATTTACTTATAATAAGTATAACTGTTATTATTTTCAGAAGTTACCATACTGGTTTCTAATATAAACACAGTTGAATAATCTTTTAAATGCTATTTTCTTTTTCGATTAAAAAATGTTTGGAGTTACATTATTTGTGGTGTAATTGGATATGACAGAGAATCGCAAATCAAAATCCATAACATGGCCTAACTTGATAATCCCTCGTAACTTAGAAATCACCTCTGAAGTAAAATTGGTTTCAAATTATCTTCGAGTGACATTAATTCCATCACTAACAAAGCTGAAATGAAATTATTCAATTATCAACCTCCGAGAGATGAATCCGCCAAGCCTTGAAATTGTGAAACTTTACAAAATTATTTCCAACGGAAACTTGATAACAATTTTGGGACACTTTACTAAAGAGCTGAATTTTGTGATTTTATTCAACAAGCCTCTTAAAACAATATTAATTAAAATTGCATTAAGTAGTTGGATAATTTGTTTTATTGTTCCGCTGCCTTTACAAGGTATTAATGAAATTCGAATAAGCACATTTCGGTAATAAATGTTTTTTTTTTGTCATGTTGGAATTGAATTTACACAATTTCAAGAAAATCACTGAATAAACTATTGACACAATAGCTTGATTGATTCTATGTATAAGAGCTGGAGAACAAAATCATTACTATATAAAGAGAGGCTCTTAATCACTACATAGTATAAAACAAAGACGCTTTCTCTGTCCCTATACCCTATGTATGCTTAAATACTTAAAACTACGCAACAGATTTTGATGCGGTTTTATTTTCATAGGGTGATTCAAAAGGAAGTTTTTATGTATAATACAAAACCACGCAGGCGAAGCCGCTGGCGGAAAGCTAGTATTTTGATAAAGTAGTATACTTCTTAAAGCATATCTTTGAAGATTGGTACCTGTTACGTTTCGATTCACTTTCTAAACATTTGAAATATATTCTTTTTATAAAACCACATCCGTGAGGTTCTTTTCCATTTAAAAGTACTTATGTAAGCCCTTATACTGCATACAAAAACAATTTCTAAAACAATAAACTTGATAATTTATCCTATATTATTTATTAAAACTACAAGCGAACATTTACCAAAAAAAAGGAAATAAGGGTCTAAATGATACTTGGGTACTTATAATCAAAAGTCATTGAGCTACTTTAAAGAGAATGGTAAAACATCCTAGGTCGCAAGAGCAATATTTAAATATTTATATCACGATAAAGAGGGGAAATATTGTTTTGTTTCTTTGCAAATCACTGCTGGACCGTTTTTAAATTCTACTATCTACTCGAAGCTTCATAACGGATTATGGCTATAATTTCCATGGGGGAGTCGCGGGAAAACAGCTAGTTTAGCAATAAAATTACAGAAACGTTTGGCTTGTTCACAGACACTGTCTGTGGACTGGACATAAAAGTCCTCGGTGATGGATCGGGGGCGGCCTACGGACGTTGTCTCGAATCCCTTCAAATGTCATTCGCCCTTAACATAACTCGTTATCTGAAGGGCCCTCCGGCTATTACGACGCGGCGCAAACGCTCGTCGGAAGAGCGCAAGACATCTACACACTTATCGTTCTGTTGTATTCTATTCAAAGCGGGTCAACAACATCGAATACTAGCAAGATATAAGAAGAAAAATATAAAACGATATCAATTTTTTTGATGAAATTCTAAGAGCTAACTTTATCATATTACGGCTAGCTATCATCGTTTTGCTTTCTTTTACGTTAAAACCAGTATGCATATTTTAGTTAGACAAATTATTAGATTATAATACTTGATTTTTAGCTAAACAATCCAGAACTTTATCTAAATTACGACTATAGATCATAAACTTAGATGCCTATATTATATACCCCTTGACTATTTAATATGTTGTTTATGATATTATATTATTTGTTTATTTAATCAATCTGTAATTTATTTCAATTTTTACTTACAAATTCAGTATTGTAGGTACTATTTTAGTATTCAAATAATTTGACTTCAATCTATCCACCGGATATTAGAAGGAAATGTTCCGAATCAACTTGGATGAGAACATAAATATAATCTGGTTTATCCAAAGGCCTTCAGGCTATTATGAGCGTGCGACAAACCGTTCTCAAGAACAAGAAATGTCAGAGTTCCAGAACTCGAATAATACTGAAATAAACTTGAATCGCCGACGGTAAGTGGCATATTATCCTTTGAGGCGAACGCTTCGGTGCGGTGAGTCTCCATTTTCTAGACAGCAACGCGGGTAATCTTATGTAATGTGTCGACGAGTCTCAGCGTTGTAAGTTTGCAACTGTATAGGCTTAGAATAAATATATCCCTATTATGCTTCAGGATTTATTTACCGATGAATCTCGAGATATGAAGAAAAAACACAAAAGTAAATTAGGTTACTAAATGACTGAACCGATTAAACAATTTTATCAAAACTATTCGTCTACATGGTCTTTGATGATTTTGTGGAACTACGAGTGTACCTTGAAATAAATTCTAAAAGCAACAGCTAGTTTCCGGATAGATTTGTAGATTGTAAGCGATATACTTGGCTTACTGGTGTTTAAGCTTACAAATAGGTCCCTGGGCGAGTACAGCCACTGTTCAAATGTTTACATTTCGGATGAAAAAAAATATGTTTGTCGTGTTATGTTCGGGAAAAAGGTGTACTATCGATATTTTGCACTCTGGAAACAAAAAAATAAATTTTATTAAAAAAAAAAATACTTTCATTTATTCAAATCATCAGCCTATTAATACACCAACTGCAAACGCACAAACCTTCCCTATTGATAATAAAATAAAAAGCCTTTTTTTTCATAAACAAATTTACAGTTAATTATTAAGTAATTTTATGTTTTTTTTTCTTTAGGAACCCCTCTCAGGTGAAGGCCGCTTCCTAAAAATTGCGATTTGTCCTGGTTTTGTGGTCTCGCTATTTTTCTGATATAATTTTCCCAGCGTACGTATGGCCTACCTCTTTTTCGTTTGCCTAGTGGTCCGTGCGATGAGGTTACAGATTTTGTCCATCTTTGATCAAATAGGGAGAATTTGTCATGACGCGAACACACTGCGTATTGGTGGACCTTAAGGACTGCAGATGCAAGCGAGATTAACCGTGTAAAGTGCCTTGCAAAGCACGAAAGCTCTCAAGATTTATTATTTTAATAACTCATTATAATCGTTAGAAAAAAATATGATAATATTATCGCCTTTAAAGAGTTATCAAAGGAAGTATGAGTGCGTAACCCTTTAAAATGGGGAACTGATTAAACTAATTAGAAGTCACCGCAAAAGTTAAAATTAGATAACAAAGTTGGTAAAAGTTTATCAAAATATTTTCGTTACGACGAATACTAATTTAATATACTTATTCACAAAATAATCGGTCAAACACTCAATATTTGGAAGAGGTTAAATGAAACATTTTTTTCCAAGTAACTATTAGCGCCATAAAACAATCGTTAAACAAATATCATTAGAGAGTTTTAACGCAAAAATACAACGAATAATTATGGCCATAAAGATGAAACTTCTTCGGATTTGAAACAATACTGATAGTTTATGAAGGTCGGACATGCAAGCTAGTGATTACCGAAGGAACTTCGATGTAACAAGTTAAATTACTTCTTGTAATATAGTTAATGAATTCATTTCGGACATGGGTACAAGCAGGAAAAAGTTACCCTACCAATGTGGAAAACTTTTAAGCTACTTCGATAGCAACTTGTCACAATGATTTACAACTAAAAATGGACTGTAATGATAAATCGTTTGTTAATTCAATCAAATATCGTTAATCCTGAAAAGATTCATTTGTTATCTGTCATAAGAATATTAATTATCATCCTCCGTAGCTGAGTGGTTCGCACGCTGATTTCAAGGTCCATCTCTGATTAGATACTAATCTTGGAATCTGAGGGATGAATGTGTTGTTGTCTAATATTGGTTTGCTTTATTTATTCTTGATTTAAAACCAATCACATATAACATCGATGTAATATTTACTTTTCTTTCTTATAATAGTATGTAACTTTTCTATTCTACTTACCCAATATTCCTAGCCTATAGTTGATTGTGACTACCACCAGTCCAGCGTGGGATGCAAGCACGGTACCATCGTAAGGGTTGCCTGAACTCCACTCGTAACTCTCGCCATGAACAAACACGACCACTGGGTAGCGGGCCACAGCATCCCTCACGCCGGCTGTTGATAAAACAACAAATTTATTAATAAAAAAAATATATAATTGAAAAACAAGCCGTCTCAGGTATAACGGATTTTTAAATGATATTCACAAACAACACACTTCAACTTTTTTTAAATGTAATTTAACTTTGATTGGAATTGTCCAAGACAAGCTCTAGATGCTTGCGATAGATTTAAAATTAGAGCCAATAGGGTAGACGCTAACGGAAATATCATCAGCTATCATAAAAATCTATCAGCTAAAATATCATATAAATTTCCCCCTGCTGGAACACAGGCCTTCCCCATGAATTGAATTGAACTAACCAAATAGCCCACGTGGGTATTAATACCCGTTAACACTGGCAGGAGTTGCCGGGACCAACGGCTTAAAGTGTTTTACAAAGCACGGAGGAGCTCAAGATAATAAACTTTTGGCTTTATTAATATATTCACAATAATAACAAATAAATTGTAATATTAATCTCTTATTTTGGTTTAATATATATTAACATATAAATTTTCAAATATGTGGGTATATCGACAAAAATCAGTCACTGAACCGTTGAGAGTAGGATTCATCAGAACAAAAGAAAAAGAAGTAAAAGAAGAAAGTTGATGATTAGCAGTAGTAATATTCTTAATGAAAAATGCTTAAAAAATCTACTTTGTCCCTGGCACTCTGAGATGAGACTCAAACATATGATCTTTCGCAATCTAGGCGACTGCTCTAACCACTGAACTACCCAGGACCAAACAGGACTGACGAATTTGGTTTTGCCGAGTTTGAGTGGATTGCCTAAACTAAACATTCATGAAAATACGATCTTTCCTAGTGAAAAAGTTACAAGTGAATGAAACTGTTAATTCTGTAGCGGTTTCATATAATTCTTGCCGTCTTGCTATATTTCTAATGACATAGTATCGAAATTGTAAATAAAAATATTTCCCAGAATCAAAAATCTCTGAAACGGCAATCAGGGAGTATTTTTGAACAAAGTTCTATTATTTATATGTTAGCTAATCATAATTGTACGGTGCTCTTTGTGAGCAGAAAAATTCTCAGAAAGTGTACTTTGGATCACGATTTTTCCCCTTTGACACCCAAACAGGAAACCTTTGTGATTTGGCTCAGCATGAAAGAAGAATCAAATAAAGCAGCATTCCATTGAAAGTGGCTTATAAATATTTTCAGAATCATTTATTAATATAAAGTCACATTCGAAGAAATTTTCGCTGTGTTTGATACACAGAGTGAGAATTTCTTCTAAAAACCACCCCTGTTACATGGTAACTACCTTGATAATTTATCTACTCAGATTTTGACTATGAGTGTATTTATAATTTTTCGGTTATTAAATGTCTTCTACCTAATTGTAAACGTACCCTAAATAACCATATTGAATGAATTTGTAGAAAAAAAAACAGCTAATTTGTATCCTTAACTAAGCATTGTTGAAAGTCCAAGAGCAATAATTTAATTTATTATAAGATGTTCTCCATTAAAATTGTATTGTTTGATATTTACTAGCCAATGTGTTTTAGGCTTGATTTTTATAACGCACCGTCAGAACTCTATAGTTTATTATATTGAGTTTAAAATCACCAAATAGTATTCCAAATATTGAACTTTATATAAAAATCTCTTGTGACGTTTTTATTAAATGCTGTTACTAAAATAAAATTTTTATTGGTCTTTTTTCCAGATAGTGATTATTTTTAGCTCTAAAAGAGTTCTGAAATGCCTCTTGAGACGTTCAAACGAGAGCAATAATTGCAAGCTTCTAATGTTACAAGATCTTTAATAAGTTCTTAGTGTTACCGAAGTAATAAATTCCTAGTAAGTAGTAGAACAGTTGGGTCTCCTCAGAGGTACAATAATGTTACATTTATTATCCTGATAAGCAATGAGACTATTGTATCGTTAGAAAACTACTTGGTGATCAATATGTTTTCTTTCTTCTTTTTAACGTGTTTGTAAAGGCATTCTCTTATCAATGAAGAGTTTTATGAAACTGAAGTTGTCGGTCTTGAGTTATTTTTAGGTTTTCTCTGATAAAATAATTCTATCATCATCACTCGTTAACTGTTGGGCCTTTTGTTTGCGACTCTGTATCTTCTATAGAGCAGCATAATTACAGATTCAATGTGGTATCAAATTAAAAATCATATATACAGTTTAAGTTATTACAGGCACTTGTGAAAATCGAAACTATGCATTCAATTCGAAAATTTACTTTATAATGAGAAAAAAAGGCAAAATTTTAACAAAGACACATTTGTCTTCCTGGTTAATTTTGTTGAAAAGCGACTTCCTTAGATCTACTGGTTGCAGAAAATGCCTTTGTTGATGTAAATCCTAAAATTATGATAAGTAGCCCAGAAGTTGGGAGGAAACAAGTGAACGTAATCATAACCCCTTCTTGACTTCGCCATAGTCGAGTGGGAAAATACCGCGAATTCGTCTAACTAGAACACTGATGCTTCTATTAAGTAATAACAAGAATTTATTTAACTATGCTTACAACTATATGTTATGAATATGTTTAAACTGCTTTGGTAAAATTTAATTTCGTATGGTCGTTCATAGACACAGTGGTGTGTCATTATAAAACTTTTTGGGCACGAGACTCTGACAATCGATTTAGTTCTCTATCGGGATTGCAGAAGCGACAGATCCTGTCGTCTCCCATGATGGATTAGGGGGAACTGATGAGTCCAGTTTTTGCTCACCGCAGGGGAGATGAGTGATGAGACGTTTTTATTTTTTTGTCACTCAATTTGATTAGCTTATCTTTAGTGGGAGCGCCATTTTGGTTTATTGTGTGATCTGTACTCTGCTGAAGACAATCTGTTGTACATTCAATTTTTCTTTGTGTTAATATTCTTTTATTTTTTATAATATTGACATGTCAATAAGCATTTATGTTTAATTTAATTTTACAGTTGATTTAGAAACTGAAGAATATCATATGCATCAGATGTTTGCAAACATAATATATTCAGGTACTTATTTAAGCGATTTTATTAAATAAATCCGATATTTTAACAATTTCAGGTAACTATTTGGATTTCACTATGCCGAGCAAATATATAAATTAATATTTTTATTTTTATAAGTATTTAATATTTTTTAGTGTTACGTATTATTAAAAAAAATATCAATATCACTAAAAGGCATGAAAAAAAACTTTTTAAAAATTAGGACCAACTTCAAGCTAACAAAAAAAGGATAAATAGTACTCATCTCAAAAATTACTTATTCAACAAAATGCTATTCCCACAGAATCCTCGACCTCCGCCCGCCCGAATTCAATTGAATTTTCTTGAACAAGTAGCTTCTGAGATAAATATTATTTATCATTTTTTCAAAGTTGATTTTTGATTATAGAAATGTGCTAGAAGAAGTTGAAGTTTACTTCAGTTCGATTAAAAATATATCATCTATTTTTGATAGGTATGTCATATTTAATACTAGTGTTTCCTATATTTTTTTATCCTAATCGCTTATAATCCAACAATGAGAACACTGATATCATTTGATAATAGTATAATTTTTATTTATGACGAATATGATACACTGCGTATAATACGCAGTGCTACTTAAGATAATTTACTACTTCTGATAAATCTTCAAACTCGTTTTATTTTATTGGCTCGTTCTGATAAAATTCTATTTATCTCACGTTTTAATTTACCGTCTTCATTCCACTTCTCATCCGGCTTGATCGATGTGTAAAGAGCGAGAAATTCCAAGTCCTTTTTTTCTTTTTATGCCGTAAGTAATGAGAGTCGTGCGATTGACAGATTTCTTTTATTTGATGTCTTGTCTATTTTAATTAACTTTTTTCAAGTGTTCCATTTTACGACGAAGTATCGTGTTTGTTTATCTATTAGCATATTTTGTTGTATCAGATTTAAGGAGTAGCTGAGCTAATATCGACAAAATAAGTAAAACATAGATTGTATTCGCCCAGAACATAATTCATGGTGGATCAAAAACTTTGACAGTCACGCAAGGTTCCTATAGAAGTTTATTTTATGCTGAAAACATGGCGTTATTTATATTACTCTTAAGTCTATATTCGCGTGCACTTTAATAAAGCAAAGTAACAAAAGGAGCACATATAAAAGGTAACAACGAAAGTTGCACAGGAAATTGCGTTCTATTGGCCGGGCATCATTTTTTTTACCTCCAAGTCACGCTACCCGGGTAAGGATTTGGGAACTTACACAATGTTTTGTTTAACATGTGTTCATTAACTGCTCAGAGACCGAATCGTGAAAATTTACAATTGAGAATCGATATCAAATTTTATTAAATAAAATCAATTACAATTTGAAACGCCATAATATATAAATGTCATAACTTAACCACAGCACTAATATTAAGGCCGTGTACACAGCAAACACCATCAGGTCAGATAGTGGCAAAATGTTGGTTCAGTTCTAGAATTATCTTTCTTTATTCGCTCTAAATCCATCCTCTCTCCTTTCCAATCTGGTTTTTGTGTTAGTCACAGCACTACAACTGCTCTCTTGAAAGTTACCGAGGACGTCAGAACTGGCATGGAGGAGCAACTGGTCACCATCATTGTTCTCATTGACTTCTCTAACGCATTTAATATAGTCGACCATGACCTTCTTCTAGCCGTATCTAGGGACTTCAGTCCCTTAATCTTTCGACGTGGACATCGGAATGGTTCTCAGCTTATCTTCGTGGGCGTCAGCAGGCAGTACGTAAGGATCGTGAATTGTCTTCCTGGAACGATTTGACAGCTGGTGTCCCACAAGGGCGAATTTTTTCACCTCTGTTTTTTTTCCATATTTATTATTCATCGCTCTTTCACGCTCGGCTGCTCTTATCATTTCTATGCAGATGATTTGCAAACAACGACCGATGAAATTATTACATCATGTCCGCCTTTTGTACCAATTCAATGTTCAATAAAGTTTATTAAATAAATTAAATAAATACAATAATAAAAAAAAGAGCACAATGAACTACGTTCGGTTTC